ATGGTATTATATTATTAATTTCACTAAATATTGTTTATTACACTTAGGTAGTTTTTCTATTTATGATATATTCCGGATACGTAATGATTATTATTATTTTGTAATACAAATTAACAAAATGCTGTAGTTACTGAATTGATGAAAACTTTATTCATTTTAACTGTTTATTTATAATAATTGAATAAAGCGATGAACTATGCTCTCTGTTGGATATTCAGCCTTATCTGTGAACAGGATAATTCATTATGAGGAACAGAGATAATTTATCAAAGTAGCTGTAGTAATACGATATCAATGCATTTATAAACAACAAAAAGAAGAAAAGAGAAGGAGAGAGATCCCTTTTTTTCCCTTTATCTAAAGATTTTTATTGCAAAGAACTATATAGTTTTATTAATGAATTCATATCTGTATAAAAATTTATTCTGTATCGAATATAATTTATTTATTTCAATACTGATAAATATTTAAAAAATTTTTTTATTTAAAACTAGTTAATCAAGTGGAATAAACAAAATAAGCAGTTCTACTAGTTATAGTGAAATTATATTTTAAACAAGCATTTATATGGTAATTTATAAGCTTTAATAGTAATAAAATGGTGTCTCATATTTCAAATTTAATTCAAACTCTGAATCACTTGAAATCAGAAGTAATTTTTCCCATTAGAAATAATGAAAAGTCAATTAATCCATTCCCAGATCCTAAACAATAAACATAATTTAAAGTTTATTGAAATGGGTATTTGCTGTTTTAAGTAAGAATAACAGAATCAAATTCCCTAACAATAAATAAAATATGTAAATACTGTGTAATAAAATGAAAATTGCATTAATTAGTTGCATACTGTGAACTTCAGCACCTTAAACGTCGCCACCAGATCTACTGTGCATATGTCACTTTCGTGTTTATAAGTTCCTTTTTCATTTCAATCGTTGATATTACAACCTTCCTCTTAAGCTTCGTTGCTTCTACGCACTTCTCGAATGCTATGGTTAATAAGTAATAGTTATACTGTGTTCAACAGAAAGTTTTTGCGCATTATTAACAGCTGTCATTACTTAACATTGAACGTTATAATTAAATCACATATATATTATAACAAACACTCTCACATTATTTCTATTCTCAGATTGTTTTATTTTTTGTTTAAAAGATTATTTAAACTTATTTCTTCACATTTTGCTTGAACAACATCAAATTGAAATTTCTTCAGATAAAATGCCTATTGGGCACATGCTTTGAAGTTTTGGAAAGGATATAATAGCGCACAGACAATAAAAGCAATTCGTAATGTGTATGGGAAAGATGCTACTAAACTTCGAACATTCAAAAAATACTGTTCAAGAAATTTCGAACCGAAGGATAAAAAAAGTATGGGATGTCTAAAGGCTGTCAATGAAGAAAAATTACAGTAAGAAATCATAAAAAAATCGATGAGTAACAAAAAATTACACACAATATATAACCAAACACACCAAAAATAAAGCAATAAAAGTACAAAAGGCATATAAGTGAAACAACTTGGATGCACAATAGATTATGTTTACACTTTTTTCAGCGCATTTTTCATTGTGTGCACAGTTTGAACTTCAAAGAATCGTTCAAACTCCAAGGCAAATTTTTGTCAAATTTAGTTTTCAAACTCTGAAGCATTGAAGTTAGAGTCATTCAAAGTATGAGGTACCACTATACTAATAAACTAAATATATATTCTGTTCTGTATTGACTTTTTTGAAATGAGTTCAGCATTTTACACCTATCTCCCAATACATAGATATACATACTTATATTTGATTTTTACAAAGTTGTTTACTAGTTTGAAATAAAGTAAAAAGAAATAAAAATAACATAATTGAAGGAACCAAAATAAAATGTATTACCTTTTCATGTATCTCTTGGGTGGACTGGGCATCACAGAAGGCCACTGTAGCCACATCCTTCAAAATTGGCATCTCCACTGAACAATCCCTACCATCAAGTAGTGCCACTAAGGGACGGGTGTGCATGGGGCCATTTGTAATAGGGCCACGGGCACCAACTGCAAAACAATCCAAAATACCAAGTGGAAAAACAGACAAATAATTAACATTTTATATTCCTTGCTTAAAAGATAATTTTAATGCTTAAAATTTAAAATGAGTGATTTATACATTTTTATTGATCAATATCTCAACAAATATATAGTATAAAATTTCTTTTTATGATGAAAATTCATTGAAAAACAATCCCAAACACCTTAATCTAAATATTATCTAGTAAACTATAAAAATTTTTATATTTAAATGTATCAATATAATCCTTATTACAATACATAATTTGTAAAAATTAAAATAAAATCAATAATGAACTAAAATTACTTATTAAAAATTTAGAATAAAGATATTAATACTTTCTATTAAAAAATATGATAAAAATTTATCATAATCAAGTAACAGTTATACAATCACTGACAAAAAGTACTGCACATAGAATTGTCTGTCAACTGTTACATCTTGGATGAGTGTATAAATGATTGTACATTAGATAATGCTACAAAGTGCCTTAAAATTGCTACCCCCAGTAGCCTATAAAAAGGCTTGCATAAGCTCATTTTGTTCAGAATTTTCAGGTGGAGTTTAAGAAAGCAGATGTCTGGCAGAATGGCCAGACATCTGGGCCATTCTAATCTTATTATGAAGTGATATTGGGGAAGTGAATAAATCAGAGCACACACATAGGGCAGGCAGTCTCTGGACATCCCAGACAGATCAGGAAAGATGATTGCCTAATCAAAAGACAAGCATGACTGCTATAACAGTGTCTGCCCGCCATCCAAAGACAGGTGCAAGGCCATTACAGAACCTCTATCTTTCCACACCATTGAGAAGCAACTAAAATTTGCATGCAAGACAACTGCTATACATCCTGGCATTAACACCCTAATGTTATCAGCTTCATCTCAATTGTGTCATGACAGAGAAGCATAGATTAAGAGTGTGTTGTCTTCAGTAACGAATTCCAGTTCTGTTTGGGAACAGACAACCACTATGTTATAACATGGAAGACCACAGGTAAGCACTTCAATTCCACTTTTACTGAGCAGCAGCTTAATGCCCTCACTGATTTTGTGCTGGTCTGAGGAGCCATTCTGTATGACAGTCAGATATCAATGACAAAGTGTTACAGTCAAGTAATCCTGATGATAATATGTTGTTTTTCATGGAAGATCTATAAGCATGATTTTCTAGCAAGATAATGCTATACCACACAAAGCTAGGGTTTTCCAGAAATGCGTCTGTTGTGTTGCCACACTTTTTTTGGTTTGCCTGGTATCCAGATCTGTTCTCTATTGAGCATTTGTGGAATCAAATAGGAAGTCAGCTTTGACCATCTGTATATATGAAATATCTGGAATAGCAGTTGCAATATCCGTGAGCAAATCTCTCACAGGATAGCATAGTGTCTATATGACTCCATGAACCACATGTATCTAGACAAGACAAGGACATATAAGGTACTAAAAGTTTCTTTAAACTAGGGGTCCCCCAAACTGTTTTAACTGTCAACCCCTTCAGTGGTCATTGAGCTTTTATCGACCATCATGTTTTATTTTTTTGCTAATACAGTTAATAAAAATAAATAAATCTAGTGAACCAATATTAATTCACACACTGTTTTCATAGAGATCTATATATCATTTCATTTATTTTGGCCAGGCAATGCACAGTACTCAGCTGAGGTGCTGGGAGTTTTATAAAGTTCAAGTGTCCCTTTTTGATAACGCACAGTGACATAGTCACATTTCTGACAATATGTTTCCTTCACTAAGTACATGGAGTGGTCTCTATCACTACATTTTTAAAGCAAAGTCAAAATTTGTGAAAATTTATAACACCTTGAACCTGTCATATACATAACCCACTGGATTAACAATTCTTAATGAACCATTTAAACTGATCCGCAACTAATTTGACCCAAGGGATCAATATCAACCATTACCTGCTGGACCCATGCTTTAAATTTTATCATTGTCCCACTGAAAGCTGTCCCTTTACTTTGATAATATAACTTTCAATCAAAAATTCTTTATAGACAAGGTTTGCCAAAGTTTTCTATTAATGGGTTGAAATTATAGTTCAATGATCAGAAAATAAGTAAATTAAATATTTCTGAAAACTTTTCCCCAAAATTTCTAAATTTTAAATTATTTAAAAAATATCGTACAATTCAAAGTTATTTGAAAATTAAAAAGCTTTAAAAATAAAATAAAAATTCTAAAAGTGTTTAATGACAGATCTTTTTTCTCAATGAAACATATGTTTGCAGAAAAGATCAAAGTTAACTTCTAGTTTATTTTTTATTAAAGTATCATCAGCAAACATTAATTATTTACAATAACATCTGTTATATATTGCCCACTTATATTTTTGAAAAGATAAAAAATTTTTTTATTGAGTATCATAAAGACAAATTATCTAGAAAACGTACAAACTTATTTCCAAATTTTTATTTTGAGTATACACATACATATAACAGTACTATGAGAAATACTGACAATGACTTATATACCGTATATATTATTTATGTTATTTTTTAATTCTAGAAGAAATTAAATCATTCCCAAATCAAATATTGACATTAAATTAATTTATAGTTTAATTGGTTAGTTTATCTCTGTACCAAAATTGCCAAAAGTCTGTAACAGCTGGAATAGAGTTAAGTTAAACATTACATACCATGCATACAATCTTCCAGCAAATACAGTAATATGTATTTGAATTAAATACAAAACAGAATGTTTTTGGCCTCTTTTGAAAGAAATCTTATGTACATGGGCTCTACTAAGAGATCATGGACCTGCAGAATTAAAGAACATCAACATGATGTCTCTAATAAGAAACTAGTAACAACTCTGGCTCAATATGTGAGCAAGCTCGAGGTGTCAATCGTCTTGTCTTTGACATTCAAAAACTAAGAACCTTGGGATTCTGAAAATTTTTTAATGCATCAATCGATGGAAAGTGCATTAATAATAAAGACTGAGACAATATCCGCCACATGGCAGTCGTTGGTTGATAACCCTCTAAAGGGAAGCAGATACACAATATTACAAGATGATACTATAGATAAACAAGTTTTTGTACTATGCACATGTATCTTCATCATAACAATTTGTTTAATTCTTATTGTATAATAATAATTTGTAGAGTATACATAAAATCTAACACATATGTGTTAAATATTCGAAAACAAGTTGACGTCGAAAAGAATACAATTTTAAAAAATGTTCTAAAATAGATTCTCTAACATTCTGTAAAGTTTGATGCAACCCCTAAAAGAGGCCGAAAACATTCCGTATTATATTTTATTCAAACACATATTATTTGCTGGAAGATGTATGCATGGTATGTAGTGTTTAGGCTAATGTCAGATGAGCTTGAAAACACGCAGATGCTATTTTTTAAATTTACCACCATATTTGCCACCATGAATTTTCATGGAGCACATTAATAATCAGCTTTATTTCAGACGTGCATACGTTGATATGGATCTCAGATTGCAATATGCTGTTTTTTATTATGTACAGAAGTATTTAAAAACAAAAAGACATAGAAGACATAGGCAATATTGGGTATTGCAACCGGCCTTCCTTTTTCTTATTTCTGTTTTCGTAAAGTTCAAATGAAGTTTCTCTCAATTCTGGCCCCTCACTAATTTGTACAATCATTTTATTTAAATCAATGTCCATTTTTTAAAATACTCAGGTACCGTACACCCTTCAGCTGGAACAACACCGACCCAGTATTTCCTTGAAACAATGTTACCACTTCCATCATTTTTCATACTCGTCTGATAACCATAGGCTTCAAGTGTATCTCCCAGTGCACAGCGTCACAAGATTATCACAGACAATCCAGTGGCCCACCCGTGCCGCACAACATGATTTTTCACACCTGCATCTGTCTGACTGCTCTCGTATGTTTTTGCAATCCCATGACATGCGTCAAAACCGATGATCACACTCATCTGACATTAGCCTTAAACTGTTACAAAGACTCAAAATATTTTTCAAATTAACTCAGCTGAAAGACTATTAGTCATATTACAAAGATTGGCAATTCAAATCCACCATTAAACACTTTTTTTTTTTTTTTTTGTCTATTTTAGATAATTTAGTTAATGGTTTAATTTTCTGTTTTAGATAATTAACATCAAATTAAGTCTTTCTAAACTTTTAAATCATTTACNTTTTTTTTTTTTTTTTTTTGTCTATTTTAGATAATTTAGTTAATGGTTTAATTTTCTGTTTTAGATAATTAACATCAAATTAAGTCTTTCTAAACTTTTAAATCATTTACGCATTTCATAAGTACGTAATAAAATTTCCTCTAAACAAATATCTAAAATTTGTAACAAAAGTTAAACATAAAAAAGATTGTATTAACAGGTTTAAGATATACGAAATCTATTTTTAGTTCATCAAAAATGGAATGAATGATTAGTCTTTATTTATAACATTACTTTTCTCTCTATTTATCTAAAAATCTATTTTAGTTAATATTTAAAATGTCTAAACAAGATCGTCTTAGATTGTTGTTATTAAATATCAGTCTGAAAATAAATTATAAACTGTCAAATCAAGTTAAAATATACATATATATGGTGGACTCTATTTTTATAAAAAAAATTAGCAAAACAAAACATTAAAATATATATATTATCTAAAATAACAGGTATCAATGACTTTAAACTACCAAATTGGAAAATAACACAACAATGTACCAGCTAAGCTGATCTAACAGCTGCTGATAAATTAGCAGCATAAATGATTCCACGAATTTGATTATGCCATGAACAATTTAAATTCATTAAAAACTGTCAAATGAAATGTTTGCTGATAGTTAAAATCATTACTTGATATATATCACTTTTCTATTCTAAATGATTTGGCATTAAAAAGATACATTAGATAAATGGACATTTTCTGTGTTTGAATCAGTTTTTATACATTCCATTGAAAATTAAAATATGAAAATTTGAAATACGTGGTATCTGGGGAAAAAATTACCTATAAGAAACTGTTATAAATCAGTGCAAAATATATATGCAATAACTCTTTTTCTGGGACAAGAAACTTGGAAAAATCAACACTCAATCAACGCATTGTCACTGTCAAAGGCAAATTCATGATCAAAATTTCTTAAAAAGGTACTTTTCATCAATGAATGCACATTTCACATCTTAGGACTGATCAACAGACATAACTGTACAATATATGGATCTGAGAATCCACACGCAATGAGAGAGCTCCAACAAGATAGTCCAAAAGTGAATGTTTGATGTTGCCACCATGTGCATAAAATCATTGGCCCATTCTTATTTGTAGAAAGGATTTTTGCTTGAGATGTTTTCTTAGATATGTTACAGAACTACAAAAGTTTGTCATTCATCAAATACCAGATATATTCTCTCTCTAACAAGATGGAGTCCCCATCATTATGCTACGCATTCAAGAGCTCATCTGGATGAAAGTTTTCTAGGCATTGGATTGGACATGACAGACCCATGGCAAAGTTTCCTAGATTCCCAGATCTAACTCTTGCTTGATTTTTCCCCATTTTCGATTTCACAAACATTGTGTACCAAACATTATTAGTAGACTTGGTAAATTTATGTCAAGGTTTATGCTGTTTGTGACACTCACTCTGAAGATGCTGGAAAAATACTTAATGGGATATCAACTAAAGCCTGGACATCAGTTGCACCACCAAGCACATATGTAAATTTATTGACGCACGTATAACCTTGGCATTTTCTATTCTCTACTGTAAAACAAATTTTCATTTATACTGTATGTTTTGCACTAATTTACAAGAATTTTTTATTAATAGTTTTCATCCTGGACATCCTATGTAATAATTACATATTACATTTTTTTTTTGTCTGCTTCTTAGACTTTATATATATAAAGAAGTTGTTGTTAAAGCTGGATATTTCACTGTTTATATCAATTCATATAGTTAATTAAGTTTTCGGTTTATTATTTAAAATACATTACCACTATAATTAACATTATTATCTCTGTGTTAAATAAAAATAATTATGATTAAGCAGACGATATTAGGTCATTTATACTCACTTGTCAGTGTAAATTTTATGTGAATAATACATTATTTTCATTATGATAATTCGTAAAGCAATATAAAATAAAGTCAAAAAAATATCTGTTATTAAAATAGTCATTACTATTTAATACCAACTTCATTTGTTCATTTTTTAATTGTTTTACTATTATTTTATTAGTTAATAATATTCTGTTATTTAATATGCTGATAGATGGTGACAATTAATTAGCTGCAACATAATATACACAATATTTGTAGTAAAATAAAAACAATTCCATTGTTCATTTGACAACTGGATGGCCAAGGCAGTGAGCGTCAACTACTGTTCTCAGGCACATAAGAGTTTGAGTTGAACCATCAGAACTTTTCATAATGAGTGGTTTTTGAACTGGACGTCAGACCCCATCTTTTATTACCTGACGACCCATGAGCGTGGGCATAGAAAAAGACTTTCTTAATGCCTAAAGGCAAAAGGTGTTATTGAAAACTTTTATGTCGACAGCATTAAAAGCCAAATTCACAAATACAGTAATACAATTTAATTTTTCTCTATACTTGTACAGCAAATATGTAATAAACGTCTTTGGAATTTCCACAAAAATATCCTAATGTAACTACACAGCACATTTATAACTAATTTAAAAAATTACAAAATCAAGTAACACTCTAAATTAGTAATTTTATGCTATAATAAATTTTATAAATATATGCTATTCTTGTTGATTTTGTTTTTTAATTCTGTAATAGGTTCAACTAAATATATAACAAAATTAAACAAAAACTATTCATCAAGTAACTCAACAAAGCATTCAAATGGCAGTTTTCTATATATTTCAGTTTAATTTTTTTATTAACTAACATTTGAGCGTTATGACAATATTTAAAATAAAATTTTAGCAGTATTATACAAATTTAAACTATAAATAATCATATATTTCATTATATCAATATATATATATTATTAAAAACTTCTAAAATTATAACTTACCATATTTGACAGCATATAAGATGCAACTTTTATAAATAAATTAAATAATTTTTTAAAAAATTACTGTGCCTTACGCGGCAAGTTACAATTTCCCGTAGGCTAATGAATTCCCCAAATGGCCTTATGTAGGCTGCAGGAAATACTTTTTTCCTCTAAATATTCTGTGATAAAAGAGAAGGTGCATCTTATAAACTGTAAAATATGATAATTGTAAAATCTTGAATTTTAAATTTAGCAAATTTTTATAAGTTTTAAATTTTTGCTATTTTAAACTTTCAATTAGTTTGGAATTTCTTAACTTTTATTAAAAAATTCTGTTCAAAGTGAAAACACCAAATAGAGAAGTGACTATAAAAACTTATTGTGAGTTATTTATTTATTTCAAAATGTACATTTTAAGTATTGCAAACAAGCAATTAGTTTGTTTTTAAATAATAAAAAAAATTGCTAGACAATGACAATAAGTATGCACGGATCAATGCTTGACAAAAGAAATAATCATTTAGTTGACTTGTCTCAAATCTTTTGCAATACGAATTTTGTTATATACATATAAATATTAATTGTCTAGCAAAACTATTAAAAAACCAAAATAATAAAAATTGTTGACATGACGTACGCAGGAAATATTAAATTAATCTGATTTATGTTTATTTTAAAAACTTACTTCAAGATTACTATCTTCTGAAACTATTTATATTAATTATTTATCCCTAACTATTTAACTATCTAATAAAAAGTAATAAAAATCTATCAACAGGATAGGATAACTTCGTAAATCTGCATTTACATACGATCTGTTTCCGATCAGTTTTTATATATATGTAAATATAAAAACTGATCAGAAGTCTAATCTACCAATTATTCTTAAATGTTACCTTTAGAGAATAGAAGGAAAAATTCCAAGTTGATAGAATGAGACCAGCCAACTTCACTATCAGTTTGATCAAAATTTACTGGGAGGCATTAATTTTATATTACCTGTGAATCAATCTTTTTAAACATAGATTGTGATTGCATGAAAAAAAGAAACAACGGGAAGTTATTAAGAACAAATTAATTTAAAAACTCGTTTCAATAAAAAAAAAAGTAAAATAAAATTATGAATTATGTAATAATTCTTTTGAGAAGTGAAAAAGTTCTAAAGCTTATTTAAAATTAGTTATAACATGCTGCAATTTATAAAAAGGGTAGAACAATAAAGAACAGAAAATCTCTTTCCATTATTGCACAATTAGATACATTTTTGACATAAAAGAAAACATACATTTGTATCTAAAACAATGAAAACTGTAAGTAGTAAAGCTGAACATATCAGTAATCTGTTTCTTTGGTTTCTATCTTTTAGAAAAATTATTATATTAAATTACCTTAATTTAATTTGTTAAGGTTAATTAAAATGTATATAAAGTTTATTAAGTGATGAACAGTAATAGATATAAATTTTTCAAGCCAGACGATTATAAAAGCTAAATTTGAAACTGAAATATTTTCATACATAGTTAAATATTTTATCCTACTGATCAGAAAAACATTGATATGCTTCGGGATAGAAATATATATATATATATACCTTAAAAAACTTAGAAGTTTTATCTTCAAAAATATCACTGGAACGTGTCAATGCATTTAAAACAGCCACAAAAACTGTTATTTCATAATTTAAATGCTGAAGAAGATTTCACTAATAAAATAATCTATGAAAATGAATGTATACACTAAATTTAGACAAATAGATAAACCACTGCTGAAACTCTGAATGAGATCTAAGCACAATAACAAATAGCTTCTCTTAAAAACTGGAAACTGTGACAGTATGGTATTTTCCATGCATTGAACTGTAATGCCTCCCTGTAACATGTTAGATGACACTTCTGTTTTGTACAATACCTTTGAAATAAAATTCATTTTTATAGAACTTCTCCATTAGTTTCCATTCAGTGTTTCCACATCCAATTTGTATAAATAACTTTGTCTTCACATATATGACATGTCTTACTAGGAGGGTTATCCATACGGGGCCTTTTGATCCCAGGCTTCTTTTTGTCCATATGTGCCGACCACGTCTTGATCAGAAAACCTCCTCTTCAAATTTCACGCACACTCAGATGGACCTATTTCAAAGGCCAGTTATATCAGCCAAATTCAATGAATACCAAATTCCTAAAAAGTAAAATAAAATAATATAAAAAAATATTAAAATTTTTTAGAACTAAGTAATAAATAACAATTAAAAGTAAAAAATATTTGTTACTGCAGAACTTTAAAATTATCTTTAAACACTTAAGTAATTCGTAATGATAATTAAATAATTATTTTATTTTTTTATTTATTTAGGTAATCAAAAAATAAACCTTCTCGCATTGTTATTTTCTTCTCAAATCAATAATAAAAATTGCTGTTTTGTAATATTTGTTACAATTTATTATAAGGTGTGTCAACCAAATATTCCAAGTCATTCTGTACAAACAGCTATTTCCATAAAATAACTCAACACAATATATAGTTAACTGTTATTTTTTTCTTTTTAACAAATTAAATTTTGTAATTATAAATGAAAATATCTACAAGAACACTTTAATTTCCTTTCAAAATAGTGAATACCAAGCCTATCAGTTTTAAATAAAAAAGAACTTCCTTATTAGTTTCTTTGAAATATATAATACATACAATTTATAGAAATAATATACGAAAGACTTTATAATTAAAACTTTTGAAAAACTAACTTTTTACTTTCGTCGTTTGAAAGAATTTTAATAATTTATTATAATAATGTAAAATGATAATAAATGTTTGACTACAAATTTAAACATATGCATTATAATATGATTAATAAAAAGTAATTAATTTTGAAGATGTGCATGTAAAATTATTAGTTTCAAATTACAATTTCAGAATTAAATATATTATTAAAACATTTATAACTATAACTATAATTATTATGCACATATTTATATTAATTATTGTTATTTTAGTTAATCTTTGAAGACTTATTACAAAATCTAAATAAATCAATAACCTATTATAATGGACTTAACTGAAGGAAAAGGTGTCCACTGTTGCCAAAAATCCATTAAATCAAATGTGTTTTAAAAACATATTAGTAACAAACTTATAATATACAAGATGTATTAAATGTTGTTATAACATATAAGTATGAATAAAATATTATTAGTGTACAATACGTTGAGTAATTTATTACTCATTAATCAATCTTTCAGCAGACCATCCACAAATAAAATGTTCTAAATTTTTCCTTTGGGACAAATTTTACGATTAAATCCAAAATCCATTAAATCAATGGTCTACCGTATTAATTTTTGCTCAGTCGTTCATCTGAATAACATAATGTTAAAATATTCCTCGTGAAAAAAGATTATCATAGTGTCAAAATCAGACCCAGAACCGAAAATAAAAACAGATCCGTGATGAAAAATACACGTATAAAGTTATATAAGAGTCTTTAAGTAAGAAGCTATTTATAATTTATAAACTGACTTAATTTATTTAACAAAAAATGATAATTTTGTTTTCATAAAAACAGTTTACAGTTATTTTTATATAAGAGCTTTAGAAGTTTCCAGTTAAAATTTGTTCTAATTGTAATTATCAAATATTCGATAATTTCAAATTATACTATTTTATTTGGTCATTTTTCTTTAAACAAAAGAGTGAAGAAATTTTAGCATAAACTTTAGAATGTTTTTCAAATGTATGCTAAATAACATATGAAAACTATTTCTGTCTAAAATTCTAAAAATTATTAATATAGTATACAGTTGACCCCCCTATAACACTGTTGATAATTCCGTTTTATATGAATTTCATGTTGTACGAGTCACTTAGATTTTACAAATGCGTGTGTCGGGCTGTGAACGGCTCACGTATTTGTAAAATCTAAGTGACTCGTACAACATGAAATTCATATAAAACGGAATTATCAACAGTGTTATAGGGGAGTCACAACTGTATACTAAAATTGTATGTAATTATATCAAATATAATTTTTTTTTTAAATAAACTCTAAAAATCAGTGTTTTCCTAGAATGCTATTCAGCTTATCTTTTTAACATAAAATTTCTGAATTTAAAGTATATTTATACAAGTATTTTAACTTTTAAAAAAATGATTTTAATCATTATTATTTTCATCTTTCTCTAAATGATTCATTATCAATCAGAATTATATTGTTATAAATCTTATTTCAAATATTAAACATATTTAAACAAACTATTAAATCATAAATTCAATAATTAAACTATCATCTTAGGTAACAGCTAAACTTCTTAAAAAGAAAAATTTTCTAATAAAATCAATCTTATGTAAAAAAGATAGTTTTGAAATTATAAGATTTGAATTTGTTTTATTACTTCATAAATAAAATTGTAAATAAATAGCAAGTACAGTCTAATAATTTTGATGTTTCTAAATATATTACACATGCGTACATCCTTGAAGGAATAAGAAAGAATAAAACATTTCTCAGATTTAACACCTTCATTTTCGGCATGAGTAATCATGTGATCAAACAGTCCACAATCATTTGATATACTGGTTAGATGTTTTGATAGAAAAACATAGTCGTTAGATAAAACAAAACTACTTAATTTAAAAATACACACACTAATTAAAAAAACAGATTAAAAGAAACGAAAATCAAAGTAATTAAAATTCGGAATATTTCTTTGCCAAATGAAAAGAAACAAAAGCTTTAAATAAAAAATTTCCAAATCACTGAAAGTTATATATACATACATACATAAAGCACATAATAACAAACATGGTAAATAAACAGGTACAGTACATATTTTTTAAAAAATGCCTTACTAGAGTTACTCAGAATATTATTAACAAAATAGCTTAATTATCAAGATGTTGATCCAACAAAAACTATTTAAAAATTATTATATAAAAATTTGAAAAAATAAATTAAGAAAGCAGCTATAAATGATTGCATGAACATGATAAAAGTAGGTTATTGAACTTATATTTTTGTTTGATTCAACAGTATGATAACAATGACAATGTATTTAGAATAATACATCTACACAAAGTGAAAACTACCATATAAAAATATATTACATCTAATTACAGCTGTCAACTATGACATACACAGATAGAAATACCAAACATTGGAAGGCTTAATGGCTCTGAACAAACAAAAGAGAATTTGAAATTGAAAAAAATTATCAGAAAGATATGCAGCACCATAAAAATGGAGAAAAATATTAACCAAACATTTTCAACAATTATTAATGTAGAAAAAATCAATTAATTACCAATATCTCCTGAACAACTTGTGTTAAATCTTTGCAATTTTTTTTAAGCCAAAGCACCCTTTCTATGTTTTCATCACATGCCTAGAAAAGTATTTGTATTCTTGTAAAAAATGTTGCACTTTTAAAAATTAATACTGATCAACATATCCATATGCTTAAAAGCTTTTACAAATACAGAATGGTGCATACTATATTTATCAATTTCAAATGACAAGTAAAAGATAGTGAAAAATAGTAGAAACCTCATTTGACCATTAAATGGAAGGCCATACAGTATACAAACATTAGTGCTACTTGAAAATAGCTTCTGTTAAATGTCCTCCACCTACATGGATGCATTCTTGTAGGCAGCTCAGAAAGGTGTCTATGACATGTAGCACCATGTACTATGGAACCTCATATTTCCAGACAGAAATATGTGAAATCTGCAGTTTATATGGCAAGGACTCTATAGTAGGGTTGCTTGAAGAACAAGTTCCATGTTTTTCAGATTGTGAACACTTCTCTTCCAACCTGTCGAATGATGATTTTAAACACCACCCTTGGCTCCCCATTGTTTCGCCCATCTCAAAATGCTATGTTGCTATGGCACAAGTGCATGGCATTCTTTGCTGTTGTATCACAGTGCCTACTGGACTTGGGTAATGGACCCTGTTCAGATAGTCTACTGCCAAAATCCACCAGTCAACATTCCATGGTGAAATAATTGCCAGCCTTTCAGCTGCCAATGCATGTATGAAAACCATATGCATGCTCACATGCATAACACTGCCACATGACATTGATAGATATATACACCAGTATAGAGCAAAAACAAACGTTCAGAAAGTGTGGTTCATGCAAGATGGGCCATGCCTCACACAGCAAACAAGGTTTGGCATTTTCTTAATTTAACATATGGTATTCAAAGGGAGTAATTTCTCAATGCTATTCAGAAAAATTCAATGCTGATTACATCTGGAAACTAACTAGTCTAGAAATTAATTCATGAGATTATTTTTCATGGGTCTGTTAAAAATAGAAGTATTCAGACACCATTTGAAAAGTCTTGAAGGTTTGAGAGTCTACATAATTCAAATTTTGAAGACTATTACACCATAAATAAGCAATTGTGATGTCATTAATTTCTGTATGCAGTTATGCAACTTGGTGTTCTGCAAAGACAGGCACACAGAACAATTGCAAAACACCAAATATCCAAAATAAATAAGTGTAGATTCGATCCTAATGAAGAGTGCTTTAATTTACAAGTCTGATATCATTTAGTTTGATTTGTTCAGGAGATATTGAAAATTAAAATCCTGACTTTTAGCAGGAACAGCCTGTGGGACTATCTGCGTAGTTTCTACAACAATAACCGAACTGCTGTAAGATTATTTCACTGTAGACAAAGTTATCAGTTATTAACTGTCAACAATAATATTTTGGATTGTCTTACTTCCTAAAGCTTCAAAAATAATGTCTACTGTGATTGAAATTTTATCAATATAACAACTCTGAAGAACATATTACAAAAATACCCCCCTTTCAATGTTATCATGCCATCAAAAATATCTTTTACATATCAATTTGTGTAACATAATGTCAGACATACTGAATATTTTTGTATTATATGATAGATCTAGCATATTCAATTAAAAACTAATAAATTTTGTAAATAAAATAAAATAGAAAAAAAACTGTAATATTCTCTTTCTCACACACATCCTTATATAGTAGCATATTACAATCAATTGTACTAATGTTAACATTTGTTTTAGAATATCTGTAGTTTACTTGTCAAAAAACTGATCTTGTTGAAATCATTCAGTTTTGCATTTTCTTTGCTATTTAATGTGATATATTAAATGACAAGAAAGAAGTTAACTAAGAGTGATGGTTTCA